GATAACAGCCATTCTAACAGGTGTGAGGTGATATCTCATTGTGGTTTCATTTACATTTCCCTTATGATTAATGATGTTGAGCATCTGATCATGTACCTGTTGGCCATCTGTATGTATTCTTTGGAAAAATATCTCTTCAGTCCCTCGGCCCATTTTTTTGCCTGTTTTTAATTGGATGTTTTTTATGAGTTATATGAGTTCTTCATATAATTTGGATATTAACACCTTATCCGATATCTGGTCTGCAAAATTTTTCTCCCATTCTGTAGGTTGCCTTTTCAGTTTTTAATTGTTTTATTTTCCTGTGCTTTTGATATAGTCTCAATTTGTTGACTTTTCCTATTGCTGTTTGTGCTTTTGATGTCATATCCAGAAAAAACATGCCAAGACCGATGTTGAGGAGCTTCTTCCCTACGTTTCTTTTAGGAATTTTACTTACTGTTTCCATTTTCTCAACTCCCCATTCACTTCTCAGTCCAGTGCAATCTAGTTTCCCCACCATTCCTTGGCTGAAATTCTCTTACTCAGATGAAAGCCTGCTTATCAAGTCCAATGTCCACATACTTTCACTGGGCATTTCTGTAGCATGACACTTGTGAAACTTTCTTGAAACCTGAAATTTTTATTGTTTTTTAATGCCACTATAACTGCCTCATTCTCCTACCTCTCTTTCTTGTCTGCTGTTTCTCAGGGTCTGTCATTTGTCTTCTCTTCTCACTCCTACACTTAATGTCTTGACCATAAACCCACATCTGAAGCCTGCACTTTTGTTCTAAGCTTCAGACCTATATATCTATTTACCAAATACCTATACCTAGGTGTCACATATATACTTCAATTTAAACACTGAACCCAAAACTCCTTGAAGCATAGATTTCATGCTTTCCTTCTGTATCTGACCCTGGGCTGGGCTCTAGGCACAAAGATGAATAAACTTACATTTCCTCCTCAGGTCTGTTCCTCCTCCTGTATTCTCATTTTTGGAGAATATCATCACCCTTAACTGAGGATGATCAGGATTATCTCTCATGGTAGGAACTGATTATTATCCCAGATTCTCTCCACTTGATGCTGATCCTCTCTCCTAAACCCCTGTGCCACTCACCCTTCTTATGAGTCCTTTTCATGCACCCTGGTTACTTCCTAAATGGGACCCAGCCCATCTCCCACCCCACTGCCACCAGAGTGATCTTTCTAAACCATGCATCTGCTCATATTTCTACCTTGCTTAAATTCTTCAATGGCCCTCTGCTTCCTACAAGATAATATCTAAATTCCCAATGATGGCATATAGCCTACATGACCTGGCTTCTGTCCTGCTTTACACGTTTTCACCCCACCATCTATCTACATGCTCCTTTGCTTCCCAGAGAGAGCCAATCACACTGTTCTTTCAAAATTCTGGGCTCATTCAAGTAGCTTTTCCTCTAGAGATACCCTCACCTTCTAACTCCCTCAACATACTCACTTAGCAAACTTCTTTGCTTTCACCTTTCAGATCTGTTTATTTGTCCTCTCTTCTGTGAAATCTTCTTTCACATTCAGAGTAATAGTTACCTGCTTCTTCTTCTCTACCCTCTTAGCAATCATAACTATGGGATTCTGGAGCAGTCCTTCTGGGCTTCTAGTTTTACATCTCTAATTAGAAACCATATGGAGTAATGGAAAGATCTGGGCTTTAAACTAACTCTGCTACCTACTGGCAGGCTGTTTCCTCACTTATAAACTTGTATGATATTAACCTTGCAGGTTTTGGAGGGGGGCTGACCAATGAGGTTTTGCAGTACCTGGTAAAAGGTGCTTAATAAACAGCATCAGGTGTTTCTTTTCCTCACAGGCAAACTTTTGGAAAAAATGGTTCACATATGCTCACACTCACTCAATTCCCTGCAATTCCACTTTCACCCAGTCACTCTCCTAGAAAGAGAACCAGTCACCTCTTCCCTGAAAAATACAACATCTTCTTATTTGCTGTGCTAGCTGATTTTATACATCATTAAATATCATTGACTTCTTCTCTTTCTTAAAGATTCTCTTTTTTGCTTTTCCTCCTAGCTCTCCAACTACTCTTACTAAATCTTATGTCTCTTTTGGCTGCCCAGAGCAGCTATTCTGACTTCCCAGGAGGACAGTGGTAAGCCTGGCAGGGATGTGTAGGGGTGGCAAGATAGCTGGGTGGGTGTGAGCTGTATGAATTCTCAGGAAGGAGGTCTGGAAGGGCATCTTGGGCCTGACTATGTTATATATCAATACAAGTCCCAAGTGAAGAATTTTAGGCAGCCTATCCTTGTTGGGAGCTCCTTCCTCCATTGATTTTTCTCTCTCATTAGGATTTGAGCCTGCGGTCAGCAGCTGATGGAGCTAAAGCTCCTTTGCCCTCAAGTTCCTATTGAAATCATTCAAAGAATGGGTAAATAAGGACAAATTGTATCAGCACAAGAAGTCCATGATGGGCATTAACCATATACTGGAAACTTTCGCTATTAAGAGAACTGAAGGGCTTGGTTCAAAAGGGCCACTGGAGGTAGAGTCATGACTTTCCCTAATGCTAGAGAGCACCTATATGTAAAGACTTCACTGTCTATCAGAACCACTGCTGCCTCAAACTTGGAGAGCTAAGAGTTCTGGAAGGAAAAAGTTGAGTGTGGATCAAAGGGCCAGTTGGAAATCCCACCACATAAGTCCTTCTTGTCTTTGTGGACTTTGGCATTGGGTCTCCACTGCTGGTGTGAAGATCTGATGTTTTCTGTTGTCTGAAATGGCACTTAAAGTTGAGATTTGGGTACAGTGTGGAGGAAGAGCTCTTTTCTAAGTAATACAACTATCACAACTCAGAAATTAAGCACCTGGCTGTGTTTTGGTTTAGGTTCCTTTCTCACTCTGTCCGGGCTGATGGTTCTCAGCACTGGTCATCTCCAGATGTACAGATTCTGTCTCCATGTAAATTGGCTGGCTGCCATTTGATAGACCTTTCTCTTACCTTCCCTGGTTTTCCAACTCCTATTTGGCTTTCCATTTTGGCTTATTGATCATCTTTTTGTTTCTCAAACTCAGTCACCATTCTCCCTTGAACAGTTCTGCTGTTTGTTCTCAAGTCCCTATCCCATGCTACCCAGATCTACTTGCCCACCCAGATTGAAACCAGTTGCATACATAACTTTGAATCTGGAAAAGTGGTATCCAGAGCAGTACCCACTGACCAGTTCTTTTTACGCCATGATCAAAGTAAAACCTTTGACCCCTTGAAAAGACTCTGGTCATTTCTACAGGGAGACACTCACCCTTCACTCAGACTATCATTTGGTTCTGGATTGACTTTCTTTTAGGTCTTACTTCAAGGCAGAGCAACAAAGATTCACCCAGAGCCAGAATATCAACAGTCATTGGAGGCGGATTTTCTGAAAGCTATCCCGTGATCTCCTTTTGGCTCCCCCCGGTAGAATCCAACCAGATAAGCCAGAGGGCATGGGAGCCCATTGGTGTGGTCCACAGGTTTAGATGTCCAGGGTACATAGCAAGGTGGAGAGTGGATCTGGAGGACCAGACCAGAGATATCTGGAACACATGGAAGTCTAGGATTAAAATTAAATTCATTCCTTGATGTGTTCTGTGAATTACGTTCCAAAGATAACGACATCCTTCGGTACACTGAAACTTCTAAGCAATCCTTTTTACTCTTTGCTCCCTCTATTGAGCATGGAAAGGTAGAGTTCTTGAGATCCTAAGGTAGTCTCTTCAATCGATTCAATTGGTGATAAAGATTGTTTTTTTTTCTTTGTCAGATTACCTATATCTGATAATACACTCAGCTAACACTGGGTTGGGCTCCCTGCAGAAAGGAAAATGAGGAGGAGGGAGAGGGTAAAAGAGAGGGGGGAGGAAGAGGTGGAGGCTGAGGGGAAGGGAGGAGTGAAATGGAAGGCTATGTACTAGGAACAGGGAGCAGGTTAGATGGGAGAGGCAGCAATGGAGAAAGAGCCATGGAAATCTGTGAGCCAAGACCCCAGGCATTTGGCGTTAGTGGCGGGTCCCAGCCCTGGCTAAGCTGTTCCGCCTCAGCATGATGGCCAACTGGGATTTTTTTGCTGTGTCCCCCTTTTTGGGGTTTCCAAGACTTTGGAAATTGGAGTGTCTTTGCTCATACGACTGCAGTGTGCTCAGAAATCATTTGAAATGGTAGAGACAGGTGCGTTCAGAGTCTAGGTAAGATGCAGCAAAGGGTGATGACTAAGAGCTCAGATTGTGAAGCCAGACTGCCTGAATTTACATTGTGTCCACACCCCTTACAGCTTCCATGATCTTAGGGAAGTTACTTAACTTCTCTGTTTTCCAGTTTCCACATATGTAAAATGAGAATGATAACAGTAATCACCTCAAGAGTTCTTAGGAGGATCCAATGAGTTATTATTTGTAAAGTTAGAAAAAGCCCAGCACATAGAAAGCACTATATAAAAGCATGTTAAGTCAAACTTGAATAGTCTTACTTTCTGGGCACCTTCCCTCAGGCCCTGCACTCAAGGATTTCTGAGGTGGTGGTGGTGTTTTCCAAGCCATCTGTCAATGCACATCTGATTAACTGCTCATGGTTATGGATTTGTGTGTCTTTTAGGGAGGAAAGATTAAAACTGCCTCTCAGAAGAATAGGCTCTTTTCTAAATCTGGAAGCGAAGCAATCCCTTGTTGCTGAAGTACAGCGAAGGAGTAGGTCCAGGAATGTCTCCCTAATGTACCCAGTGTCCACCTCTGTGGTAGGAGATTACCTAAGACATTGCTAGTCCAAGTAGTGTAGGAATATTCTGGCCTTTTGCAAGAGGCCCACTGGCAAGGTTTGATCTGGCCTTTTTGGTATTGTTGGAATACTACCTATTGTCTCCAGGCTGAATAATTTTCCTCGTTGATTAAGAGGAAATTCTTCCTTGGGCCAGGTAATCTTAAGTTCTGGGAATTGATACAAATGGGATGCAGTAACTTTTGTATCTTAATTTTTGGGTTCTCATCAGGAGGAACCTACAACCTTTCACCAGGGCAAGAAGTTTCTGCAAAACACATGCTGGCTTGCTCAAGAAGATCCTGCTGGGCCTGTTGTGTTTGGGTGAGGTGTTAAGCATTCATAGAAACAAGAAATATCAGTCATGTTAGGAATGTGATCTTGTGTCAAGATGACTGTTAGATGGAAAGCAACTTTATTCATAAACCCATCTACAGGGCTATTTGATATGTAGATTTTAATTACTTGTAGGTGAAGCATAATTTACTGAGTTGCACTGATAGAAATAAGTAAAATCAGAGAGATTTCCAAAACTGTACTGTTTGATAGACTTAAATATTTCAGATAATCTGGGCTTGTCTCCTTTTTAGTGTCTTGATTTGACACACAGCATGGCTCTTGTTGTCCTTCCAAGAGAAGTCTGTAGTATATATACATTACTTAATTGCTGGTTTACTAGCAAAATCAGTGCTATAAAATGTTTTTAAAAGACAGAAAAACTCTATTTAAAATATACTGTTAATGATCATGACCTTTTGATGTTAATATGAGAGGCAGCTAGGATGGTGACAATGAAAGTTTTATTTTGGGGTGAGTCGAGCTAAGGGGTGGGGATCATATGGCTACTTCTTAGTAGTAGCCTTGTTTACATAGTTTTGCCCAAGAGGGATGGTATAAATGATTGAGGGTTTTGAGAAAATATAAGTTTCCAAGAGTCTAACGGTAGACACTAATCAAACCTACTTCAAGAGACAGAAAGAGGATACCAGATAAAATCGAAGGGAGTGAGATTCATTAGAGACAAGCGAAAATATACAGTATCAAACTAAGCTGGACTCTCCTTGGGAGTCCTCAAAAAGAAAACAATTGGCTATCTATCCTGGCCTTGAGAACGGCAGCTCAGTTGGACGATTAGGGCTGGTGGCAAGATTACTGGAGAGTTTTTCTTCTAAGCTCCAGACATTCAAGACTATAACTTCATTTGCCCCTGGGAGCTCTTTACCTTACTCTGTACCTTTTCTTTTTAGCTTATGCCGCCTACTTCCTGACAGCTTGCATCTTGGATTTCCAGAGGGCACTGGCCTTGTTCATCCTCACCTGTTTGGTGCTCTTGGTCCTGGTTCACCACTTTCTGAAAAGGTTCTTTGGAAAAAAAATAACCAAATGTCTAAAGCCCTTTAAAAACTCCTGTCTGAAGCTTTGGATGAAATGGTAAGATAAGAATCTCAATACCCCTGGTCCCAGAACTTATCCCAAACCCCAGTTCACTTCCCTTTTTCTCCTTTGACAGTTCCTCAGCTGTCTCTCAGACTCTCAGAGAAGTGTAGGTCTTTGTAAGACCTACATGTACAAAACCAAGGCTCCGAGAGCACACAGAATGCACCTCTGAGCACTGGACCTCAGTCTGGATTCTTGTAGCCTTGTACACTGGCAGGGGGCTGGAAGGGCTGTTTCAGGGCAGAGTTTCAGTTGTTCATTGACAGAGCTGAGTCAGAGATGAGATTAAACCATACTTCTCTTCAATGAAGCAATCAAAGAGGCTTGCAGCCATGTTAAGCTATCAGATTGACTTGGTGGTCATACATGTCTCCCCTAGTTACCTGATACTTTTTATGCTTTGTTCCCTCTGGTCTTCCAGACTTCCTGCACCCAGTGGTGTCTTATACAAACTTACTTTTAGCATATATTGAACTGGACTCAACAGTAGCCACAGCATATCTAACTAGGCATGCACATGCTCTTTGATCACAGGCCTGGGGTGAGAGAATAAACTTCATACTCTCTCTAAAGTTCCTCTTTCCTGCCTGTTCTCCAATGGATGCACAGAAAGAATGTCTGCAACAGTGATATTTGGAGAAACACACTAGACTACAATCTAAATTTTGGATCATTGATTGTTTTGACACTGAAGAGATAGGGTTAAAAGGACTCACTAACAGGATGGATTCTGGAAGACAGATTTATTCACTTTAAGAAAGATGAGTGCACAATGAAAACAGCTCTGAAATTCAACCTGACCTCAAATGCCTTTTGCTGTCATTGCTGTTTTTAAGGCATCTCAATGAATAACGTGTTCTTTTCGCATTTTTTTTCATACATGACCTCCCTTCTAATTCTTTTCCCTTGAACTGATATGACTCCAATGCTGAGACATGAGGAAACCAGTTTGTGTATTGATCAAGCATGTTTGGTACCTCAGGGGACCATAAGTAGCCAATATACGGCTCAGCCTTTGGAGTGGTCGGAAATTGGAAGGAGATCCATGTGGACCATGCATACTTTTCCTCTTCTTTTAAAAATATTTTGGTTATTCATCAGAACAACCTTTAAGCGTAGGTCTTTATAGTACATCTTACTTGAGGAGAAGGAAGTCATGTGATTTGTGTCCTCAGTGGTAGCTAGAAAACTACCAGATGAATGATTCTCAAACTCCTGGTTTACTAGCAAAGCTAGTTCACAAGCTGTCTTTGTGGCCAATCTACTTGAACTTGTGGTAAACAGCTATTTTTTAGAGGTAAAGTCAATTATTTGTTATTAATTCATGAAGCTGGCGACATGGTCTTGGAATTCCCTCTTTAGGGTGTTTGCAGGGCTCTCCTTGGTTGGCCTTATCCTGTGGCTGGCTCTAGACACAGCCCAAAGGCCAGAGCAGCTGATCTCCTTCGCAGGAATCTGCATGTTTATCCTCATCCTCTTTGCCTGTTCCAAACACCACAGTGCGGTGAGTTTTGGGTATGAAGGGTAGGCATAGTAACATATAGCTAAGGGCCAGGGGTTACTAATCACAAAATGCATGTGTCAAGTATTGATTGCAAAGGCACAGAACTGAGTTCTTAACAATCTGGAAATTACCTCTTTGACAATATTGCTCCTAAGAGAGGTTTTAAACTTTTCAGAGGCCCTAGGCCACTGTTTTCAAACTGTACATTGTGATCCATTAGTCATATCCATTGATATTCATTATTGATATGTTTTATGGATCTAGGCCAGTGTTAAAAAAAAGAACAAAAAATAAAATAAAATAAATAGCATACAATAGAAATTCAGCTCGCATTACACAATATTAAAGTACTGATTGATGATGTTTTTGTTTGTGTCATCTAGCTTGTAGATGGTTTTAAAAACCACATGGATATGTGTGGATCTTCCCATATTACTGCCCTGTTTGGCCCAGCTCTCTGACTCCATCTCACCCTTGATTTAACTGTTTATATCTATGTTTGGTTCCACCTAGAGTACATATATCCATGTTTAAAATTCCAGCCAGATAATGGGCAATAGGGTTTAGAACACACACTGGAATAATGTTCTTATGTCCCAGGTGTCCTGGAGGGCAGTGTTGTGGGGCCTGGGTCTTCAGTTTGTCTTTGGGATCTTGGTCATCAGAACTGATCTTGGATTTAATGCATTTCAATGGCTGGGAAACCAGATTCAGGTATGAGAAACTGAATGTGAGGGCTCTTGTTTTAGACCCCAAGAGAAAGGAGATTTGGGGGAAGCATGAGGAGACTGGGCAGTGTCTTGTAATGGTGGTGGGACGACCCGTGGGAAAGTAAAGTGCATGCTGGGGTGCAACTAAGCGTATGAATAAAGAGAATTGGAGTGCTGAGTCGTCTGTCATTCAGTGATCTCGTGGGCCACAGCCTGCCCCCCTGCTGCCGGGAAGCCAACGGTAGCATCAGTGTCAGCACTAGGTCCTCATCGTGCATGAGGCTGATCCCTTCTTCCTGGCTTCACTCTTGCTTACTGTCTCTTTTTCCTTCCAGATTTTCCTGAACTATACTGTGGCTGGCTCCAGTTTTGTATTTGGGGATATGCTGGTCACGAGTGCCTTTGCCTTTCAGGTTGTATCTGCTTTATGGACAGGAATGAGGGTCACTGTGGGGGAGGTATAAGGCAGAGGGTGAAAATGTGTGTCTAAGAGATCAGCCAGTCTATATACCAATTCGACCCTAAGAAGATGGTTTGATCCCATCAGTAGACAGCTTCAGTCTCTTGCCCTTTGATCATTATTATACTGAAATTGGAATGAAACAGGGGGGTTGGGGAGGAAGGCTGAGGAAACATCTCCTTTGGCTTAATACCGACTGAATAATAGATCTGCAATATATTTAAAATGTATTTCTAAACTAGCCTGTGTTTAAATATCCACTGAGTATTGGTGCTGTATCAGCTGCTCTTGGGATGCAAAGACCTTAACTTAGAGGCCTGAAACACAGTCCATTTATGGCATACATAAGCACATTCAGTGTGATATCTCACTGGCTGCCCATATTCTTATTACAGGCCTTACCAATCATCCTTTTCTTTGGCTGTGTCATGTCCATTCTCTACTATCTGGGCCTCGTGCAGTGGGTGATTCAGAAGGTAAGACCTTCTCCTACACCAGTCAGGAGGCAGACATCATCTTGTGGTCTGTTGAGAGGCATGAAGATGACACTTTGTAAAATGCTCCTACATAGAATCTTAAGCATTAGAACCAATGTGACAAGGCAAACTCTTTCAAGCACGCCTGCTATCAGAGGGTCAAAACCAGGCCAGAGGTAGGCTGAGTGACAGAGCAGGGAGAGAAAATGGGCTGGACTACCATTTCATACTGAGTTTTAATATACTTGTTCTGGAAGCCAAGAGTCCTGCATTCTGTTCCAGGCTCTGTCTGTGACTTGCTTTGTGCCCTTGGGCTTGTACTCTACATCTCTGGGCCTCAGTTTCCCTACCAATAAAATGGAGAAGGAGGGGTTTGCTGGATGTTCTACAAGATTCCTGCTAATGTTAACAGTTTAGGTCTTTGTATTCCTTTAGATTGCCTGGTTTTTGCAGATCACCTTGGGCACCACTGCCACAGAAACCCTGGCTGTGGCAGGAAACATCTTTGTGGGTATGGTAAGCACCATGAGACCTTCTGATTTTCTCTTCTCTGGGAAACAGAGAGTGTGACTGAAAACAGGTTGATAAAAGTATGCTTTCCTTCTGAAAAATGAGGACTGTATGAGCAGCTAAATACTCATGAAAGAAAAGCCAGAAACTGAAAGGGAACTTAGCTAATTGTTTTCACCTTTCATGCCTACTAATACTTACCTGGTCATACTTAATTCAGACATTCTTAAACACCAACCCAATTTCTTACATAGGAATTTACAGAAATGTCCTGGTCCGAATTTCTCTCCTTCAGGGGCTATGGAGGATGCTTGCTCTATTCTGAGTTCTCCCTCTGACTCTTGTTTTCCAGGGTCTCTTAGGAGTCAATAGCTTCCCTTGCTCAGGGCTAACATCAAGGCTCCTCCCCACAATACTTGTCTGATACATTTGTCTATATGGAGTATGTGCTCAATATATACCACTCACTGATTAGCTCAATGTTAAGGACAATGGAAATATGTACTCAGTAAGTACATTGCATTCCATAAAGTTGTTCATTAAGCATATGGGTTTAGAAATTGAGAACATACAAAAGAAATAACACCATTTCTCTTCTACAGCATTTTAAAATTTAAATAGATGAGACAAACGTGTAAGAAAGCATATGGGAACAATGCCAGCCAGGGTATGACTGGGTGAGGCAGATGCTGGGAGGGTCTGAGAGCAGAGCTGGGTGCTGAAGGGCACATCCACTGAACGGATGTGTCCCAGGGACTGGGTGGCACTCTGAGTTGGAGCACTGCACCCTCCTGAATCCGATTCACTTCTGTTGTTTATAGACAGAGGCACCTCTGCTCATCCGTCCATACCTTGGAGACATGACGCTCTCGGAACTCCACGCAGTGATGACTGGAGGGTTTGCTACTATTTCAGGCACTGTGTTGGGAGCCTTCATATCTTTTGGGGTATGCATAGTCTGTTCACTCCTGGGTGAGCCAGAGTCTGGGTTCTGCAGACACTGATTCCTGAATCTGGCTTTCCAGATTGATGCATCATCCCTGATTTCTGCCTCTGTGATGGCTGCCCCCTCTGCCCTTGCCTTGTCAAAACTGGTATATCCAGAAATGGAGGAGTCCAAGTTCAAGAATAAGGAGGGGGTAAAATTGCCCCGTGGGTGAGTCTAATGAGGCATGTAATTTGGGAGATGGTGAGGTCAGGTTCAGAATCAGGAGTGGTGCTGTGGAGGCCGAGGCTCCGAGTCTCCTGGAGAAGGAATAATATGATTCCCTATTCCCTCTTGTCTACTGCCTCTAGCTAATCACATTGATTTTCTGTTGCTTAACCCTCCCATCTGTCTCTATCTTCTGCAAGCCAGTATCCTCTGTCCTCAGTGTCAGTGCGATTTCATGGCAAGTAAATGACATTGCCTCACTGTAATCCCACCAAGAGGGTCACTAAGGAACTCCCATCACCACTCAGGCTGGTCTTACACTTTCCTCCTGCACTGCAGGTACAGTGGGATCCACATTCTTCCCTTCTCCCCATAACCACAGGAAGGAGAAGAACGTCCTGGAAGCTGCCAGCAATGGAGCCACAGATGCCATAGGCCTTGCTGCTAATGTAGCAGCAAACCTGATTGCCTTTTTGGCTGTGCTGGCCTTCATCAACGCTGCCCTCTCCTGGCTAGGGGAAATGGTAGACATACAAGGGCTCACTTTCCAGGTAAAAGATTACATTTGTTGGGTTGTCCTTCTAGGGTGTGGTTAAGTAGTCCACGAACTGTGCATGTCCTCCTGACTCACAGTTATCTGAGAGAGAGCACGGATGGGAGAAGGATGGAGGAGATGGACTCAGTGCTCCGCAGAAAGGCCCTGGCTCCTGCCCTGCAGTATTCGTTCTTCCTTTTCCTGGAATATCTTTCTTTCACCCAGGTCATCTGCTCCTATATCCTAAGGCCCATGGTTTTCATGATGGGTGTAGAGTGGACAGACTGTCCAATGGTGGCTGAAATGGTGGGGATCAAGTTCTTCACAAATGAGTTTGTGGCCTATCAGCAACTGTCTCAGTATAAGAACAAACGTCTCTCTGGAGTGGAAGAGTGGATTGGGGGTGAGAAACAGTGGATTTCCGTAAGTGACCATCTAGAAAAGCATAATAGTTTGTGGGCAGTCAGGGAGTGTCACATACAAGTCTGTTTCACACCCACAGATCTCCTTCCAGTATCCCCGGCCTAACCACAAAGCAAGCGTAGCCATGTGCTTACCTCCAGTGCCTGAGTGGCCCTGAGGTCTGGGTGCTATTCCACCCCACACTCTGACCCAACTTCTCTCTATAATGGAATTGTTGGGTCTTTATGGATGGAGCAGTCCAGGGTGGACACTTTCTGATGATCTGAAGTCCTCTTCTTTATAAGTTTAAATTGCTATAAATTGATTTTTCTCTCTCCCTCTCAATCACCCTCATTCCTAGACCTTCTATTTATTCATAGGTTTCAACAAGAAGAGTGTTGAGCCAAGAGGCATATAGTGGTTTCCATATCATTATCCCTCAAGTAACTCAGGGAGTGAATATTTTCTGAGCATCCTTTCCACACTCTTCAGGGTAGTGTGGACAAAACTGGGAGTTCCAAGTACTCAGGGACTTCTATCCTGATTATATCACTGCATACATGGGACTGAGTTTATTTGCTTATTTATTTTTGTTTTCCTTAGGTGAGAGCTGAAGTTATTACAACATTTTCACTCTGTGGATTTGCCAATCTTACCTCCATAGGAATCACATTGGGAGGCTTGAGTGAGTCCATTAATTTTCCTAGCTGCTCAATAAGCCAGCCAGTTTTCAGCTTCTGTAGTGAGCAGTCCTGGTGCTTCAGTACAAGTGAGACCAGAGAGAGAAGCTGATGTGAAATGGTCTCTCTCAGGCAGCAGTTAATTTGGAGTTACGATAACTGCTACCTGGCTATGCATGCAGTCTAAGCTGGGTTTATAATCTCAACTTCTGTTGCCTTTTTTCCTTCTAATTAGAGGCCCAAAAGAACAATTTAATTTTTATTTTCCCTATGAGGAAGAACATAGTGGTATTATTTTTATTTTGCCATTAAATGGTCATGGTACACATGTAAGTAAAGATATTTTGTTTTTTATTCAGTAGTGAAGGTACTTTCTGAAATTAGGCTGCTCACCAACTATCTTCCCAGAAGTAGGAGTTGTATGAGGAATCAAAGGATAAAAGCAGCAGACACATAAGGTGGATAGTGAGAGTGAGTGGTGTGAAATGTTGAAGTAAAAGCTACAAGTCACCAGGTGTGGAAGGAGCATGTATTTGAAGCAGACTCAGATACATCAGAGATACATTTAGACTGTTGAAGATATTGCTAAACATGGGTGATGGTTGGAGAAAATAAAATGAGGAACATGGAACTGTCCTTGAGGTCAGGGGCAGGGAGAATGACTAGCAGATTCCAAGTCTATGGGAGATCCAATTTAGATATAGAGTATAAGAAGAAATACAGCTCAGTGTGTCCATTTTTTTTTATGGCACTCATATTTTAGGGTAGAATCATTAAGTTGATTTACTTGTTAGCTGAAGAATTTAAAGAGGGAACAATTTCCTCTTAGTTTATCTGTTGAATACTTGTCTGTTAAATACTTGTCTGCATGGTTCTAATTCTGAAGCCTGGTAACTGTCTGACTGTGAGATTGCCATCTAGTAGCGGGATATGCATCACATGGCTAAGGCTTAGGTGAATGCTGCCTTCATTATTCCACTGGCTCAAAGCCATCCATCTAATTCTGGTCCCAGCTTCAGAGTGCAGATCTCAACAAGTGAACACCCAGGCACTTATCCCTGTCTGGGGCAAACCAGAACTCTGCTTGATCCAGATATATGTTGGGAATGTTCACAGAACCACTGAAGATAGGGAAATGTCTGGTTAGTAAGCCCTCAGGACAAATGCATCTACATTCTTCTTGGAATACCACTGGTTGGCTTCTGGTGGTTTGTGGTAAGGATGCTGTTCATCTGCTGTGTTTTGTTCTTCATTCTTCTAAATGGGGCTCATGGGATATACCCAGTGCCTGATGGGGAAGAGATCAAGCTATTCTGTTGTCTGCAGCATCGATGGCACCCCACCGGAAGAGTGACTTGTCCAAGGTTGTGGTCAGCGCCCTCCTCACAGGGGCCTGTGTATCCCTTATCAGTGCCTGTGTGGCAGGTAGGTGCCTCAGCTTAGTCTCTTGGCAGAAGTCACTTACCTAGATCCCAACAAGATCTCCCTCAGAATACTGCTTTAACTATCCATCTCACAGATGCACGGAAAAGGCCCTAATCTACGGTATTCTCAATTCACACCCAAAGAATCAAGAGCCTTAAGGAACATGTGTAAAATCTTCCTCTTAGTATCTCTGTCTCATTTATCCAGGAATCCTCTATGTTCCCAGGGGAGCTGAAACTGACTGTGTCTCCTTCCTAAATACAAGTTTCAGCAATAGAACCTATGAGACCTATGTGTGCTGCAGAGAACTCTTTCAAAGGTGAGTGAGGACTGGGATCCTGTTCCTTTCTCTTATACACTATCCTCTACTCAGGAATCTTCTGGAAGTGGGGAGAAATAAGGTCTTGAGGGGAATCATGTAGGTGCTAAGTGGAATGTATAAAGAGAGAGATGGGTATTTGTGGTGGTCTAGATCTGTATTCTTTTCTTTTATTAGATGCATTCTCAGTATGGAAAAGCTCTAGTATGGAAAAGTGACAGATTTTACCTGTATTGGTGAGGTATGGAGAAGTGGAGGGTCAGGGGAAGAAGTAAGGAAGGGTGGTTTCCCTGATAAGAAGTTACTGTATTTATTGTGATTGAAATATAGATAGGTTGTGGGTGAAGACTTGACAATGGTCCTAAATGGCAAAAAAATATGGGCTTCTTCAGACAGAAATGAAAAGGACGGAGAGAGAATAAGGTTGAATTGATAAAGTCATCATGAATCAGGGTAAAAAGGAACTTGTTTACCAATTTCTGGGGTATTATTAAAATAGTTTTCTGGTTCCATATGTAAGGAGCTTAGAAGTCACCTCTCTATCCTAACAAGGTCAAAACTGAACAGTCTGAAAGATAAATAACTCTTGGATCCATAAGAGAGGCAGGGACACAGAGCAAACTGCTGCCCCAGCATCATAGAGGCAGTCAGGTGAATACAGGAAGTCATGGCTCACTGGAGCAGTGACTCATCAGTGGAAACTGCTGCAGAAACCTGTTCAGGGGTAGCAAAGCCTGAATTGTAACTGCTGGAGGTTCAGTAAAGAAACGTCTTACTGTTAAAAACTCTGGGGGGACCCAGCCATGGGGACACTCCCACACTACTGTGAGTTTTACCTCCAGGACCTGGACCAGGTTCTCATAGTAATATCAGACAAAAATCCCCTTGTGCCCCTGGCAGGGGGAGGGAAAAAGGAACCATTAAAAAAATACACCTGAACGCTGCTCTTTTTAAACAAGAACTGCCTCAGGGGATACTAATTAACCAGAGCCTAACCTACTAAGGTATTATCAGAGCCTACTTGACTTGGGGAAGGGAAATACCCAACTCTAGCCCACTTTGGCAATCCTGTCCCACCTAAGAGAGGAGAAAAAACCTGAGAAACACTTGTTTAAGTACACCGTCCAGATACACCGTCCAGAGGCACAGGCTCACTAAAAGGCTGAGACCTAATTGCAGGACTATAGCACAACTTTCCCTCCTCCCACACCTCACCATCACATTATTAAAGACCTATTTACAGCAGTTCCTTTTATGGGTCCATTATGTCTGGATATCAAGAAGAATTACAAAGCACACTAAAAGGTAAAAAATGAACCCACACAATTTGAAGAGACAGAGAAACATCGGAACCAGATATGGCAGGGATAATGGAATTTTAAACAACCATGATTAATATGCTAAGGGTGCTAATGGACAAGGTAGATGGAATGCAAAAACAGATGATCACTGAAAGCAGGGATACAGTAATCCTAAGGGAAAATAACAAAATGAAATGCTACAGATTAAAAAACACTTTAAGAGAAATAAAGAATGTCTTTGATGGGCTTATTAGTAGACTGGACATAGCTGAGGAAAGACTCCCTGAGCTTAAAGGATACATCAATAGAAACCTTCAAAACTGAAAAGCAAAGAGAATGAAGACCTAAAAGAAAACCCAGAATAGAATACCCAAGGACTGTGGAATAACTACAGAAGGTATAACATACATACAATGGGAATACCAGGAGAAGAAAGGAATAAAAGAAATATTTGAAGCAATAATGACTGAGAATTTTACCAAATTAATGTTAGACACCAAACCACAGGTCCAAGAATCTTAGAGAATACCAAAGCAGGATAAATACCAACCCCCCAAAAAAGACCAAAAATACTATGTAGGCATAGCATTTTAAAACTTTAGAAAATAAGATAAAGAATACTGAAAGAAACCAGTGGAAAAAAAAGGATACATCATTAAATCGAAACAACTAGTTATATAAGATACACAAAAGGACAGTTTTGAGGAACTAGAATGATCAGTTCTGTCAAAGCAAAAGATGTGTGTATTACTAGCTATATATGGGTAAATGAAGAGAGTTCTGGGAGAGAAGGATGAGAGATTTTAAAAGGGCTTGTATGAAATACTAAGGAATTTAGATTTTTGACTTACATAATTCTGAACACTGGCACAATAAAATGTTTTTTGAAAATATCATTTTGGTAGTCATTTAAATGTCAGGGAGACCAATAAACACACTGCTATAATAGTCCACGGGAGAGAAGATGGCAGCTGATACTACATGGTTGTGAGAAGGGAGGTGCAGCAGACCAAGGAGCATCAACAGGATTTGTCAATGCTAGACAGGAAGGAAGGGTGGGGTGAGGGAGGGAAAGGAATCTCAAATGAGTATCTTCTTTCTGGCATGGGCTACTGGGTCTCAAGGTCACTGAGAAGAGGACTAGTTCCAGGAGCAAGAATGAAGGGGAAGACTGTGGTTTAATTCAGTTGGATATGTTGACTTGGAGGACCTTGGGACAAGCAACTGGGGTCCGGGGTTCAGGAGAGAAATCAGAGCTTCACATAGATTTGGAAGTTATCCTTAAGTAAGTGATCTATTCATTATTTAGGTAAAAGTTCAGGCACTACCTGCTTAACAGGTTACTATGCCAAGTTAACAGATGTTACCCTCCTGTGTTTGGAGGTAGAAGGCAACCAACATCCTCTGAAAAGATAATTCTTTTGATATACAATTAAAGATGAATTATAAACTGTATAGACTATTGATCTGGCATAGTTTGACTCCTGTGCTCTTGTGGAAGTTCAGTGGATGTCAATGTAAGCATCATCTAAAGTAAATGAATAAAGTGAAAATTGCTAATTTTTGTTTAACAATAAGTTGTCTCTATGTCACTGAACTTCACTAAAAAATTAACAGAATGCTCTTTTCTGCTCATCTCTGCCTTCAAATCTGCAACAGATTTTTTGCCTAAAATCACTTACTTAGCATCATTAGCATCTAGAATCTGAAAGAAATAATGTTTTTGTCCAATTCATTTATACTAAGTAAGTCTGGAGTGACTCCAGTTCAAGATGGCAATATAAGAAGCTCCTGAACTTCCCTCCACCCATGGATGAACCAAATGTACACATGGAGTGAAATTCCTCTGAAAGAAATCCAGAAACTAGCTGAGTGACTTCTACAAATCAGGCAACTAAGAAAATATCCACATCAAATTAGGTAGAACAAGCTGAGACACAGTCTTACCATAAACCCCACCCTGGCACAGCACCATACAAGGGAACTCCCAACTCCCAGCTTCTTAAGGAGTGAAGGGTTTGGGCTGCACACCTAATACTCCAATGTTTAAGGCTCCTATCTGAATGACAGGTTCCCAAAACACCTAGCTCTGAAAGCCTAGAGAGAGTGGGTTCCTGAGTCCCACAGAACTACAGGAAACAGGGAAGCAGTTATTAACAGGCACTCACTGTGTCTATCCTCCCAAGTCTCAGTGCAGGGGGAGCAGTCAAAAGTGTCCCTGTGCCTGAGGGTCCTTCTAATTAGCATGCATCTAGGGTATGACTTTGATCCTCCCTGAAGCCCACGTTCTCTTTCTAGCTTACTGTAATGAAACCAAGTTGCCAGTATCTCCCCAGAAGGAACTTACACCCACAGCTAGAGCCTCCACTTTTATGGCTGCCATCCAAGGGATGGATGGGTCTGCAAATCACCTAGCTCTCTTACTAAATGGGGCTTGCATTCACCAGTCCAACAGGAATATAGCAAACAAAGATGCAGTTTTTAAATGGGCACAAGAGCACCCCCCACCCCCCAACAGCTATATACATAGGCTCAGCACAGAGGAGACAGGCAAAAATGCCCATCTCCCAGTTTCTCCCTAAAAGGGGTTTGACTGCACACCTTCCCAGCTAGTGTTTGAGGGTTCAGCTTCTAAACAGCCTGCATATAGGTGTCTACTTCAATTATCCTCTTTGGGACACTAGAGAGACTCACACAAGACACATTATAATTAAATTATAAAAAGTTAAAAATAAAGAATCTTAAAAGTAGCAAGAGAAAAGCATCTTGTTACATACAAGGGAAACACTGTAAGACTGTCAACAGACTTTTTAGCAGAAACCTTATAGTCCAGAAAGGAGTAGGATAACATATTTTTAAAAAAAGGAAAAACAACTGCCAACCAAGAATACTTTACCTGGCCAAGTCATCCTTCAGAAGTGAATGAGACACAGTTCTCCAGACAAGTAAAAGCTGAAGTTCACCATTAGAACAGCCTTACAAGAAATGTTAAAGGAAGTTTTTCAAGATGAAATAAAAGGATACTAACTTTAGTAATATGAAACATAAGAAAGCACAAAACTCACTGGCAAAGGAAAATACGTAGCTAAATTCCTGGTGGCAGGTAAACCAATTATAACTCTACTATACAGGTTAAAGAACAACAGCAAAAATGTCACAATTTACATTTTTGTATAAATGTAAATGGGGGGGTGTATAAATGTACAGCTTTTGTATACATTCAAGTTAAGTCATTGTCAGCTTAAATGGATTGTTGTAACTGTGAGATGTTTTATGTTAGCCTCATGGTAACCACAAAATGAAAACCTATAGTAGATACACAAAGGTAAAGAGAAAGGAATAAAAGCACCCACTGCAGAAAATTATCAAATCACAAAGGAAGGAAGAGAGGAAGAGAGGAAGAAAGGAACTACAAAACAGCCAAAAAACAATTAACAAAATTACAATACTAAGTTCATACCTATCAATAATTGCTCTAAATACAAATGGATTAAATTCTCCAATCAAAAGATAGAGTGGCTAAATGGATTTAAAAAAGACCCAATTATATGCTGCCTATAAGAGATTCACTTCAGCTTCAAGGACACACATAGACTAAAAGTGAAGGAATGGGAAAGATGTCCCATAGAACATGGAAATCCAAAGAAATCAGAGGTAGCTATGCTTATATCAGAATTAACAGACTTCAGGCACATAACCGTAACAAAAGACAAAGGTCATTATATATATAATGATAAAGGGATCAATTCATCAAAGGGATATAATAATTATAAATATTTAAGCACCCAACTTTAGCACCTAAATATATAAAGCAAATATTAACAGATCTGAAGGAAAAATAGACAGTAATGCAATTATAGTAGAGGACTTCAATATTGCACTTTCAACAATGAGTAGATCATCCATACAGAAAGTCAATAAGAAAACTTTGGACTTAAAGTACATGTTAGACCATGTGGATGTAAAAGACATTTATAGAACAGTCCATCCAACAGCAGAAGAATGCACATTCTTCTCAAGCATGGAAATTACATGATAGATCATATGTTAGGCCACAAAACTAGTCTTAATAAATTTAAAAAGATTGAAATGGTATCAAGCATCTTTTCTAACCACAGTGGTATGAAACTAAAAGTCAATTACAAGAAAAAAATGGTAAATTGACAAATATGTGGAGACCTGCAACATGCTCTAGAACATGGGTCAAAAAACTCAAGAGAGAAATAAAAAAATATCTTGGCTCATGACAAGGAAGGAAAAAATTGTAACTATGTGAGGTGATGGATGTTAACTAAACTTATTGTAGAAATCATTTCACAATATATTCACATAACAAATCATTATGTTACACCCCTTATACAATGTTATATGTCAATTATATTTCAATAAAACTGGGAAAAACTTAAAAAAATATTTTTAGACAAGTGAAAATGGAAACAACATAGTAAAAGTTGAGATGCAGCAAAAGTAGTTCTAAGAGGGAATTTTATAGCAATAAACACAGACGTTAAGAAAAAAATTAATATCTTAAATAAACAACCTAATTTTACACTTCAAGGAACTAGAAAAGAACAAACTAACCCTGAAGTTAGTAGAAGGAAGGAAATACCAAAGATTAGTACAGAAATAAATGAAATAGGGCCAAAAAATTAGAAAATATCAATGAAACTAAGAGCTGTTGTTTTAAAAAGGTAAGACAAACCCTTAGCTAAGCTGAGAGAGAAGATTCAAAATCAGAAATGAAAGAGGAGATATCATGACTGATCACAGAAATACTAAGGATAATAAGATACTACTATGAATAATTATATCCCAATAAATTAGAAAACTTAGAAGAAATGAATAAATTCCTAGAAATATACAACCTACTAAGACTGAATCAGTAAGAAATAGAAAATCATAAGAGACCAGTTATTAAGAAGGAGATTGAATCAGTAATCCAAAAACTCTCCACAAAGACAATTCCAGTACCAGATGGGTTCACTGGTGAATTCCACCAAACAGTTAAAGAGGAATTAATACCAATCTTCTCAGACTTTCAAAATACATGAGGGATGAACACACCCAAACTCATTTTGTGAGGCTATTACCCTGATACCAGAGCCAGACAGGGATACTACAAGAAAAGAAAATTAGAGGCCAATACACTGATGAATATAGATTGCAAAAGTCCTCCACAAAATATTAGCACATTACATTAAAACAGTACATTCAAAGGATAGAATACCACGATCAAGAGGGATTTATTCCTGTGATGCAAGGATGGTTCAACATACACAAATCAATAAATGTGATATACCACTTTAACAAAATGAAGGATAAAAACTATATGAACATCTCAGTAGATGCAGAAAAAGCATTTGACAAAATTCAATATACTATTCATGATAAAAACTTTCAACAAATTGGGTATAGAAGGAATGTACCTCAATGCAAAACAGGCCACATATAATAAACCCACAGCTGATATCATACTCAATGGTGAAAAGCTGAATGTTTTTCCTCTAAGATCATAAATATGACAAGGATGCCCACTCTGACCACTTTTATTCGACATAGTACTAAACATCATGGCCAGAGCAATTAGACAAGAAGAAGAAATAAAAGGTATCCAAATCAGAAAAGAAGAAGTAAAATTGTAGGTGACATACATGATCTTACATATAGAAAACCCTAAAGACTCCACCAAAAACCTGTTAGAATAAACGAATTCAGTATGTTGCAGGATACAAAAATCAATATACAAAAAACAGTTGTGTTTCTACATAATAACAACAAACTATTAGAAAGAAAAATTAAAGAAACAATCCCATTTTCAATAGCATGAAAAAGAATAAAATGGTTAGGAAAAAACTTAACCATGGAGATGAAAGATCTGTATGCCGAAAACTATCAAAAAATAGTGATAAAAGAAACTGAAGAAGAAATGAACAAATGGGAAGGTACTCTGTGTACATGGATTAGAATAATTGATGGTTAAAGTGTTCGTACTACCCAAAGTGATCTATAGATTCAATACAATCAATCCTTATCAAAATTCCAATGGTGTTTTTCATAGAAATAGAAAAAAAATTCCTAAAATTCATATGAAGGCACAAAAGACCCCAAATAGCCAAAGCAATCTTAAGAAAGAACAAAACTGAAGACATCCTGATTTAAAACTATATTGCAAATCTATAGTAATAAAAAACATATGGTATTGTCCTAAAAACAAATATATAGTTGAGTGAAACAGAACAGAGATCCTAGAAGTAAACCCATGCATAGATGGTCAATTAGTTTTCAACAAAGAAGGCAAGACTATACAATGAAGAATGGACGGTCTTTTTAATAAATGGTGTTGGCAATATCCACATAAAAAAGAATGAAACTTATCTTACACCATACACAAAAATCAACTCAAAATGTATTAAAGACTTGAACATAAGACCTGAAACCTTAAAACTCCTATAAGAAACATAACGGGTAAGCTCTTTGTCACTGGTCTTGGCAAGGATTTTTTGGATTTGATACCAAAAGCAAAGGCAAAGAAAGAAAAACTAACAAGTGGGCCTTTATCTAAAAACCTTCTGCACAGCAAGGGAAATCATCAATAAAATGAAAAGTTAACCTATAGAATGGGAGAAAATAATTGCAAACCACATATCCAACAAGGGGTTAATACCCAAAATATACAAGGAACTTAAATCAATAACAAAACCCACAAATTATCCAACTTAAAAGTGGACACAGGAACTGAACAGATATTTTTCCAAAGAAGACATCCAAATGTCCAACAGGTACATGAAAAGGTGCTCAACATCACTAGTTAGCAGGGAAATGCCAATTAAAACCACAGTAAGACATCACCTTACACCTGTTGGTATGGCTATTATGAAAAAGACAAGAGATGACAATTACTGCACAAGGACGTAGAGAAAAGAAAACCCTATATACACTGTTGGTGGGAATGTAAAATGGTACAGCCACCATGGAAAGAGTATGGAGTTTACTGAAGAAAGTAAAAATAGAACTGCTATATGATCCAGCAATCCCACTTTCGGGTATATATCCAAAGGAAATGAAAATGAAGTTACTAGCTGTACTCCCATGTTCACACCAGCATTAGTCATGATATGGAAACAACCTACGTGTCCACTGATGGATGAATGGATAAAGAACCTGTGTATATTCCAAAATATACAATGGAATACTATTCATCTTTAGGAAAGAAGGAAACCCTGGTATCTGCAACAACATGGATGAATAATTATGCTAAGTGAAATAAGCCAAAGACAAATATTGCATGGTATCCCTTATATGTGGAAATCTGAAAAAAATGAAAATAAAATTCAAACTCATAGAATCAGAGAGTGGAATGGTGGTTGCTTGGAACTGAGAGGCAGGGGAAATAGGGAGAGGCTGGAATAAAGGTACAAATGTTCAGCTGTAAAATGAATAATCTTAGGATCTAATGTGTAAGATGTTTGAGGATCTAATATGTAAGACAGTGACTGGTTGATTATACTGTATTATATAACTGAACTTAAGTAGAACTTAAGTTCTCACCAAAAAAAAAGAAAGGTAAACGTGAGGGGATGGATGTGTTAATTAACTCAATGCTGAGAATCCTTTCACAATGTATACTTGTGTCAAATTGTGTCAATTTGTACACTCTAAATAAATTACAATTTTATTTGTCAATAATACCTCAATAAAGTTGAAACAATAATAAATAAGCCAGACAGCCAGCCCACCTGAGCACTTTCTTAAGAGGAAAGTGGCTTTGGAACACCACCTCACTTTTTAGAATAAATTCAGTCCTAAATCTCATTATAAGGCACAACTTTTTCCTCAGTGATGTTTAGAAAGGAAATTTCCAAAATGAGTATGGTTAGGACTTGGGCAAAGGACCATACTACATAGAGTTTCTTACTAGTATTATCTTGTGTGTGAATAAGAAAATAAACTTAATTCTGTCCTGTTTATTTAGTCATTGGGATTGGATCCATTATGGGTTTTGTTCTTGTTTTTTTTTTTTAAGCTCCTTGGTAGAACTTACTGATACATCCTGTTGCATTGTTTTTATCTGACCCACTAAGTATCTCTCTGCCTTTTCATTTCAGTACTGCTCTGAATGGCACCAGCCCTCCTTCTTTTTCTGGCCCTTGGGGAGATAAAGAGTTCAGTGCCATGGCCCTTGCTAACTGCTGTGCGTTCTATGCCAATGCTGTCTGTGCCTAAGGCTGGTCCATTTCCATAACAGCCCTGATCTTTATGCCTTTTTGATGGCAAAGGTGCTTATGTACTCAGAGTTCCCACCCTCCAAGTAACTCACCACGATCTTTAACAGTAAATGTAAAAATTTCATTGTGCTCACTGTATGCCCATAATGAAAATTAGATTTCTCTTTTCATTATTTGGCTGGACCAAACAGGAAATTTCTTAAGGGCTCTCTCTGAATTTATATTTGAAATAATAAATATTACCATATAAAAAAAGCCTTGCTTCTAGTTTCCATTTTAAAAATTATGTGCTGCAGTGTACTATAAATGTGATGTGGTGTGTAATGTACACTGAGGTAAAAAGCTGTATTTCTTGTTGTTCTGTGAATCAGTTGAGTTTATGGTACTAGAGGTGGATATGAAAGTTACATGAATATTTAATAAGATTTTTCTGATTGTTACACATTTGTAAACCTACAAATTCCCTAACATCATTACACAGTAAACAAAAATTGCTTCCTGTATTCAAACTTGTGAGGGACATCCAGTTCTTAAAGGCCTTTACTTTGTTTTATTACACTTTAGTGCCATATTTACTTCAAGTCTCCAGGGCACCCTCTAAAACAGTGGTTTTCAGTGAAAAAAAGGGTAGGGTGGACAGTCCTGCCTCCCAGGGGACATTTGGCAATGTCTTGAGACATTAGTAGTTGTCACAACTGGGGAGATGGCTGCTGACGTCTACCAGGTAGATGCCAGGATTGATGCCCAACATCCTACTATGGGCAGGTCAGCTCCACAACAAAGAATTCTTTGGTCCCCAACATCAGCAGTGCTAAGGCTGAGGCACTCTGATTTAAAATGTTTAATATACTTCTTACATCTAATAGTGCCTATAATATTAATAATATTATAGCCTTAAAGAAGTTTCAAAGGATGTAGGGGTTCCTCAAAAAGTTAAACGTAGAATTACCACATGGCCCCACAACTCAGTTTCTAGATATATGCCCCAAAGAACTGAAAACAGACATTCAAACAGTACATGAACCTGCATGTTCACAGCAGTACTATTCACAATAGTCAAAAGGTGGAAACAGTCCAAATGTCCATCAGTGGCTGAATGGATAAATACATCATATTATATACATACAATGGAATTTTATTCAGTCATAAAAACCATGATATACTGATCCATACTACAAAGAGGAACCTGGAAAACATTATGCTAAGTCAAAGAAGGCAGACATAAAAGCTTTGTATAATTACTCGATGATTCTATTTTGTATGGTCCCATTTATATGAAATATTCAGAACAGATAAATCCATCAGAATACAAATAGGTGGTTGAAGGGCTTGGGGTGGAGGAAGAGGAATAGGGACTGACTGCATAATGAGTATTTGGTTTTACTTTGGGTCAGTGGAAATGTTTCGAAACTAGATAGAGGTGGTGGTTGCACAACATTGCGAATGTACGAAATGTCACTGATTTATTCATTTTAAAAGTTTATGTTATGTGAATTTCTAATAAATTACATATATTTTAAAACATGGATGTAGTACTTCTATGTTCACTTAGCTAATCTACCTTCCTCCACTTCACAATTATCTGAGCTCAGAACCTCTCAGTCTTCTTTCCAGCTTCCATTCTTATCTCCTCTCCCATATTTTCAAACTTGACACAAAAGAAAACAAAGCCTCAGTAAACTGCTTCCTGATCTGCACACTGATTTTCATCCTAGCCTAGTTTCTAAGAGGAAGGAGAATGCAGTAATTGGTGGTACTGAACACTAGGTCAGATTATTAACCTTTGCATCTTTATACATGAACATTTGCTTGGCACCTGTCACACTTCTGGCATTGCTTAATGAAATTTGGGTTCTGATTCAGGCTCTGCCACTTATCCCAGGGTGACCTTGGGCAAATTCCTTAACTTCTCTGTGCCTTGGCTTCCTTGTCTATAAAATGGGCATGAAACCAACCTTACAGGTAAAGGTTGTGAGGTTGTAAAGGGATCAAAACAGTGACTGCTGACTCTAGGCCTGATGTAAGGGTTAGTTGCTATTATTATTTAAGGAGCTGAGTTCACTACAATCAATTTATCGAGCTATGCATGAAATTCAGTTCACACATGGAAGCACGTGGGACAGACGGAAGTCCTTACCTCCTTTCAGGGGAAGGGCAGGCCTTCACTTCTGTTTCCTGTTGAAAGCAAATCTGGCCTACACTCTCACACTTAGTGCGCCGCGCTGTGACAGCAGGAAGCATGACAATCCTAACACCATCATCTGCAGAACACTCTCACAAGTGGGAGGCACAGGAAAAGCAAGGGTTTGAGTGCAACCTCAGCAAATGCAACGGCAACAACTTGGGCCAAAATGCACCTTCCAACGGAGCACTGAAGAGACCAGGACTAAGTGCATTTAGCGGGCCGATTGGTGCTTAGCTCTGATCAATCCTGGGAGGCGCGCAAGGGGGACCAATCGCCATCAGGCTTGGTCCTGGGGGCGGGACAAACATGCTGACTCCTGCGTTCTGGGAGACAGACAACGGGTTTGCAAACTGCCGCCCATCCCTGGTATAGGATCCCCAGAAAGGGAAGGGAGAGGCAGAGGAAGAGTGGGCAGGAAGTAAGACAGGCCCAGGGGAATTGGGGATTTGAGAGGCAGCTGTGTTGGGATGTGGAAGTAGTAGTGTAGAAAGGAGACAGCAGGGGTGGGGAAAGGAGAGGAGCAGACTGCGTCACTGAATGAGCGGTCTGTTATCTTAGGCACTACACGATAAGGCCTCTCTTACGCATGTTGTTCCACAGCCTGCCATTTTTGCTTACGTGTGTGGATGTCATTTTATGTACATACATGATGTACCTCATTCATTTTATTGACTATATGGTGCTCCATGTAAGGAAGTACCTAAGTTGTCTGTTCCCCTTAATGAATATTTAGATTGACTTATATTTTTGCCAATTATTTCTAGAGGCCTAACTGAGGTAGACAAAATTTATGTTTGACTCCCACTGTTGACTCTCTTTGAGATGCCTGATCTGCTTTTGGTGAAAGTCCTTGACTGAGCTGTTGGTTGTCAAGCACTTAGACGGTTAACACCTCTGCGGTGGTAACTAACTTTTAAGACAAGAATAAAAAGATTAGCAACCAAAAGATATGGATTCAAAGTCCTGACCTGAAATCTAGCTTTCCAGTCTCTCTCTTACCACCTTTCTCATGCCACCCCTCCATGTACACAATCATGACACAGACCTACGGACTCTCCCCAAGAAATCTACACCTAAGTGCCCTGACCTGAGTCCTTTTCAAGGCATGTGAAAGTTTTTAACCTTTGCCTTTTTATACATGAACATTTGCTTGGCACCTGTCACACTCCTGGCATTGCTTAATGAGATTTACGTGTTTGGTGTTTCCTCCATTTAACCCATACAACAACCCTCTAAGGAAGGCTCTATTTTTATCTGTTTTCCAGAGAAGAAAAGATAGGCTTAGAGAGAATAAGTTACTTCCTAGAGTCACATATTAAGGGACAGAGCTGGGATTTGAGCACAGGCTCTGACTTCAAAGGCCTTGCCCTTAATCACTGTGTCTATTTTCATATCATTACAGCCCTCCCTGCCCTTCCTCCTTTTCCAGTCCAGTGCTCCAAGGCCCACCAGTTTAACCCAAGTGATCTCATTAGCTTCTAAACTACTTATACTTTCGGAACTATTTGTGTACCAATCATATCATGCTGTGTGGCATCTTTTGTATTTTTGTCTTATTTTTCTGTTTGTCTTATTGTTATTTTCCATTGCAATGAGTAGAAATACAGTTGCTATAAAAGCTGGCAATTCCCTCAAAGACAGAATTGTCTTTATTTAACAAGTTACTTTTATTGGCTTTTTGAATGTCGAGCTCCATGAAGGCAGAGACCAAATCTGTTTGTTACCAAAGACCTAGGAGCTACCGCTGTGCCAGAAAGAAAGAAAAAAAAGGTGGTAGGGTGTGTGTGTGTGTGTATGTGAGGGGGTGTTTAATAATTTGTTGAGGAACAAAATAAGATGAAACTCCAAGGGCTTGGGCCTGAATACCAGGGGCAAAACAAAGGGAGAGAATGTCTGCTACATGAAAGAACATACAGAAAGCACTTACACTGCCTGGTACAAAGTGAGCTTTTAATCAGTGTTAGTTATTGTTACTGTGCAAGTGTAAGAGGAAAGGTGGGTGGCGGGGAGGCAGCAGGTAGAAAATAAGTAGGCAAAAGATAAAGTGGAGTAAATGATGCTGGGCTAGGGCTGTTTGTAAGGACATGGCCTTTGAGGACTTCTCATAGGCAGAAATGGGCAAAGGAGCCATTTAGGAACAGGGATACCTAATATTCACCCCATCAGTTTTGCCCTCAAATCTTTAATAGAAGTCTGTTTACATAGGGTCTGGTGCCAGTGGTATTTTGAGGAATTCAAGAATCCAGGTGGTGTCCAGTGTAGATGGTGTGGTGTAGGCAGTCCAGTCAGCACAAGGAGTAAAGAGCCGTGGATCTTAAGTAGAGAAATACGGTGTCCAAGAAACCTCAGAAATATTGGGAGCAATGCTGGGTTTTCTCATTTTATATAGGATGGAGGTTCAAGGCCATGTTCATTAAATCTTAAAGGATGGGGGATTCTCTAGTAGGCTGGAGGACTGTTGGGATGTCAAGACAGCTGAACCTGGAGTTACACTTCTGTGGTTAGTCTATGTAAATTGTATTCATGTCATGTGCTCCCAGCTCAATTATAAATTTTTCCAACTAGAAATAATGAGGAATGAGTTGAATTTGTATGGCCTTTTTCTATGTATGAATTTCTTTCCTTTACATTAATTCATTGGAACTAATTTTGTGGTAGGTATGATGGCCTCATCCCCCCGCCTCCCCATTTTAAAGACAAGAAATTCAGGCAGAGAGGTGAAGTACACTTGCCCTGGGTCACAGAGCTGACAAGGACAGAAATTGGCCTAGTACAGTGGAAAAGGATATGGCTTAATAAGACTTTTCACCATCTGAGTGAAATCTAGCTTTCCAGTCTCTCTCTTACCACCTTTCTCATGCCCCCCTCCATGTACACAATCATGACACAGACCTACGGACTCTCCCCAAGAAATCTACACCTAAGTGCCTTTGAAAAAGAACCTCTGTCCTCACAATTACATAAATGAAGATAGGAATGGCTTCACTAAAGGACTGCTGTGGAACTTAAATGTTTTACTTTAAAGCAGTTGGAACACAGAGATGTGTAAGGAGTGCTCTCTTTTCTCCTC